TTTTGTTCTCTGGCACCAGTCTCCGATACCCGCTCGCCAGTCTTGCTGCCCTGTTTCCCTAGGATTGGGGTCCCTGTCCCTTTAAGACTTCCAAAAAGCACTCACCGCAACAAAACAGCAACAACAACAAAAAGAAAGATGGCCACTCGCTTTTCTTTTGTCCTCTGGCGCCAGCCTCCAGTACCTGCTCACCGTTCTTGCTGCCCTGTTTCCCTAGTATCCAGGGCCCCGCGCATGCACTGTGTCTGTGCTCTGGTCCAGATGGTTGGGGCTGGGTGTTCAGCAGTCCTGGGCTCCTTCTCCCTCCTGCTCAGATCTCTCTCTTCCCGCTGGGAGCTGGGGGGAGGGGCACTCGGGACCCGCTGGGCTGGGGTTTGTATCTTACCCCCTTTGCGAAGTGCTGGGTTTTCGCAGGTGTGGATGTGGTCTGGATGTTGTCCTGTGTCCTCTGGTCTCTATTTTAGGAAGAGTTGTCTTTGTTATATTTTCATAGATATATGTGGTTTTGGGAGGAGATTTCCACTGCTCTACTCACGCTGCCATCCTGGCTCCCTAGAATAGTTACATTTTACATATTAAAGCTCTTTGACAAAAAGTGGATATTTTTGACAGCTTTTGGCTTGGATAATATGGCCAGTGTAGATGGTCTAAAGCAATATGAGTTGGTAGTGTCATGAGCTGTCCAACAGGATTCACAATGTCTAAGGAATTTCAGAGGATACCTAATTGTCTGGGGTCTAGATGATGAGGTATCAAGGCATAAAGAAGGGAGAAAAAGGAAAAGGGAAAAAAGGGTAGAAATGAATAAATTTCTTATACTGAAGCAAGGTGGTGGTCAAGAGGTTGGTTCTGCTACCAAATTGTCAAACCAATTTCACCACATACTAGATAAGAGAACTTGGGAAGCCACTTAAACTTTCTGAGCTTCAGATCTCCATATGTAAGACAATGGTAACAGTACCTGCTTACCTCAAGGTTGTTGAAAATATCAAATAAGTTATTATATAGAAAGTATCTGACATTAAGCAAGTAATCAGTAAATGTTAGCTACTATTACATTGTATAGTACTTCACAATTTATGAAGTGTTTCTATATATATTATCTATAAAACTCTTAACAACCCTGTTTTATTATCTTTGTTTTATAAGTGAGGATAAAATTAGCAACTAACCCAAAGTCACACAGCTAGGAAATGAGAGGACTAGGAATAGAGAGCGTATGCAGGACCAACATTTATATATATCATAGCTGCTACCTCTGAAATTGTGTGTCAAAGGTAGGATGGAGGTTGAGAAGTAGTTGGAGGAAGGGAGAAAAGAGGATTTGCAAATCAGTGGAAAAGGAAGAGGCATACTTTAGCTAGGGCCAGCTCAGAAGACCTTCCTAAAGACTCTGACCCTTTCTTTTCATGGTTTCCCTTTTCTCTAATTTTAGCTCCAAAAGATGTATAATCTGAATCTTAGTCAACCTATCCCTTTGATCGTCAACAAAAAGCTGATACCTGCCACTACCAAATTTGTTCAACAGCCATTAGTGGAGCTACTGACAGAAGAGGACAGAAAGTCTGATGTATTTAAGAAATTTAGGTATGTGGTAGGTAAGACTGACATTAAACTTACTTTGGATGATATGTGGGACCTAAATCTTTTTTTTCTGCCCAAGAGATGTCCTTACCCACAATTACAATATAGTGGAGTAGAGAGTCTAAGGGAGTATTAATTTTCTTAGCTTATTTATCAAGAGGTTTATTTACATATATTTCTACTTAGGTATTTAACATCTAATTGAGAGTTCCATTGTAAAAAATGAAGTGGGTTTTGTAAAAAAAAAAAAAAAGTTGTTTCTTCCTAAGAATTAAATTATTTTAACATACAATGAAAAAAACCATAGAAGCATTACTTTCCTTTAAAGAAGGTAAGAGCTTTGGGAAGAAGGGGGAAAAGATTGTTGCTGGGAAAAAATAATATAGATATGGTCTGTATACTCCATGAAGCTAAGATCAGAAGCTAGTTTTAAAATGAATTACTAGGTGAAGTTATAGAATTGCAGCTCTCAACAATAAAAATGCTATTTCCATAAATTCTGCTGTTTTAATCCATTTCTCAAAGTGGACTTAGCTAGTGTTCCTCTGTGCCAGGGAGGGTACTATAGGACAGGGTGATGGTGAAAAAAAAGGGAAAGTAAAAATCATACATTTTGGTTGGCTACTGAACTCAGGAGAGTTTGGTGTGCTTCTAATGAGGGCTCTCTGATTCTGTAGACAAGAAGATCAAATGAAAGCCATCTGGAATGCTGATCTGTCGACTTCAAGCTACCCAATAACAGAGAAGAAATCAACACATTCACTGTGGGCCCAGCTGGGTGGGTACCCAGATATTCCTAGGCTGCTCCAGTTAGATGTTCAGTCTACCTTCAGAAAATCTCTTGCATCCATTCAATCACAGTAAGTTAAAGACTGGGAGTACTTTGGTAATCAGGTCTTTGGTCATCTAACTTTTGTTTCCCTAACTTGACCTTCTCTTACAGCATAGGGAGTAGGTGGTTGATGTGAAGTTAGACACACCAGTCATAAAACAGGCTAGGTAAATTCAGCATTAGTTTTTTACTGATTCTCTTCATAGGCCTGCAGATGTCACTATTAGAATACTGAAGAAAAAAAATGGTTATAATACCTCAAAACCTAATCTAACACTAAATAGATGCACTTTGTTGTTTTTCTAGTCTTTTTTTTACTTAGGTACAAAAAATAAAATGCACACATCTTTGTGTACAGCTTGATGAATTCTGACATGTGTACACAGTCATGTAAACCATCACCCAGATTGAGATAGTTTCTAGTTTAATTCCATTGTGATCTGAGAGCAGGCATTGTACGATTTCTCTAAATTTGTTAAGGTGTATTTTATGGCTCAGAATGTGGTTTATCTGGATGACTGTTCTATGTCAGCTGGAAAAGAATGTGTAACCTGCTATTGTTGGATAAAGTAGTACAGAGATAGATGTCAGTTATCTCTAGTTGATTGATGGTGCTCTTGAGTTCAACCAAATATTTAAAGATTTTTTAGCCTGCTGGATCTGTCCATATCTGATGGAGGAGTGGTAAAGTTGTCAACTATAATAGTGGATTCATCTATTTCTCTTTACAGTCCTATTAACTTTTGCTTCACATAGTTTGATGCTCTGTTGTTAGGCAAACATTAAGAATTATGTCATCTTGAAGCACTGACCCCTTATCATTATGAAATACCCCTCTTGATCCCTGATAATTTTCCTTGTTCTGAAGTCTGCTCTGCCTGAAACATAGCTACTCCTCCTTTCTTTTTATTAACATTAGCATAATGTTTTTTTCTCATCCATTTACTTTCTTTTTTTTTGGTATCATTAATGTACAACTACTTAAACAGCATTACGGTTACTAGACTCCCCCTACTATCAAACACCCCCACATACCCCATTACAGTCACTGTCCATCAGCATAGCAAGATGCTATAGAACCACTACTTGTCCTCTCTGTATATACCACCCTTCCCGTGTCCCCCCACCCACTACATTATGTGTGCTAATCGTAATGCCCCTTTTTCCCCCTTATACCTCCCTTCCCACTCATCCTCTCCAGTCCCTTTCCCTTTGGTAGCTGTTAGTCCATTTTTGGGTTCTGTGAGTCTGCTGCCATTTTGATCCTTCAGTTTTTGCTTTGTTGTTATACTCCACAGATGAGTGAAATCATTTGATACTTGTCTTTCTCCATCTGCCTTATTTCAAGCATAATACCCTCTAGCTCCATCCATGTTGTTGCAAATAGTAGGATGTTTTCTTCTTATGACTGAATAATATTCCATTGTATATAGGTACCACATATTCTTTATCCATTCATCTACTGATGGACACTTAGGTTGCTTCCATTTCTTGGCTATTGTAAATAGTGCTGCAATAAACATAGCGGTGCATAAGTCTTTTTCAACTGGGCTCCTGCATTCTTTGAGTAAATGCCCAGGAGTGGAATTCCTGGATCAAATGGTATCTCTTTTGAGATTTTTGATGAATCTCCATACTGCTTTTCACAATGGTTGAACTAGTTTACATTCCCACCAGCAGTGTAGGAGGGTTCTCCTTTCTCCACATCCTCGCCAACATTTGCTGTTGTGTGTGTCTTTTGGATGTTGGCCATCCTAACTGGTGTGAGGTGATATCTCACTGTGATTTTAATTTGCATTTCTATGATGATTAGTGATGTGAAGCATCTTTTCATGTGCCTGTTGGCCATCTAAATTTCTTCTTTGGAGAAGGGTCTGTTCAGCTCCTCTGCCCATATTTTAATTGTATTATTTGCTTTCTGTTTGTTGAGGTTATATAATTTGGATGTCAATCCCTTATTGGATATGTCATTCATGAATATATTCTCCCATACTGTATGATATCTTTTTGTTCTACTGATGGTGTCCTTTGCTATACAGAAGCCTTTTAGTTTGATATAGTCCCACTTGTTCATTTTTGCTTTTGTTTCCCTTGCCTGGGGAGATATGTTCATGAAGAAGTTGCTCATGTCTATGTCCAAGAGATTTTTGCCTATATTTTTTTCTTAGAGTTTTATGCTTTCATCACTTACATTCAGGTCTTTGATCCATTTCGAGTTTACTTTTGCATATGGGGTTAGACAATGATCCAGTTTCATTCTCTTACATGTAGCTAGCTGTCCAGTTTTGCTAACATCAGTTGTTGAAGAGGCCATCATTTCCCCCATTGTATATCCATGGCTCCTTTATCGTTTATTTATTGACCATATATGCTTGAGTTTATATCTGGACTCTGTTCTGTTCCACTGGTCTATGGGTCTGTTCTTGTGCCACTACCAAATTGTCTTGATTACTGTGGTTTTGTAGTAGAGCTTGAAGTTAGGGAGTGTAATTCCCCCTGCTTTATTCTTCCTTCTCAGGATTGCTTTGGCTATTCGGGGTCTTTTGTCATTCCATATGAATTTTAGAACTATTTTATGTAGTTCATTGAAGAATGCTGTAGGTATTTTGATAGAGATTGCATTGAATCTGTAGATTGCTTTAGGCAGGATGGCCATTTTGACAATATTAATTCTTCCTAGCCAAGAGCATGGGATGAATTTTGATTTACTAGTGTCCTCTTTAATTTCTCTTAAAAGAGTCTTGTAGTTTTCAGAGTATATAGGTCTTTCACTTCCTTGGCTAGGGTTATTCCTAGGTATTTTATTCTTTTTGATGCAATTGTGAATGGAAGTGTTTTACTGATTTCTCTTTCTGCTAGTTCTTCGTTAGTGTATCGGAATACAACACATTTCTGTGTATTCATCTTGTATCCCACAACTTTGCTGAATTCAGATATCAGATCTAGTAGTTTCGGAGTGGATTCTTTAGGGTTTTTTATGCAATATCATGTCATCTGCAAACAGGGTCAGTTTGACTTCTTCCTTGCCAATCTGGATGCCTTTTATTTGTGTTGTCTGATTGCTGTGGCTAGGACCTCCATAACTATGTTGAATAAAAGTGGGGAGAGTGGGCATCCTTGCCTTGTTCTCGATCTTAAAGGAAAAGCTTTCAGCTTCTTGCTGTTAAGTATGATGTTGGCTGTGGGTTTGTCAAATATGTCCTTTATTATGTTGAGGTACTTGCCCTCTATACCCATTTTGTTGAGAGTTTTTATCATGAATGAATGTTGAATATTTGTCAAATGCTTTTTCAGCATCTGTGGAGATGATCATGTGGTTTTTGTCCTTCTTTTTGTTGATGTAGTGGATGATGTTGATAGATTTCCGTATGTCGTACCATCCTTGCATCTCTGGGATGAATCCTACTCGATCATGATGGATGATCTTTTTGATGTATTTTTGAATTCGGTTTGCTAATATTTTGTTGAGTATTTTTGCATCTATGTTCATCAGGGATGTTGGTGTGTAATTTTCTTTTTTTGTGGTGTCTTTGCCTGGTTTTGGTATTAGAGTGATGTTGGCCTTGTAGAATGAGTTTGGAAGTATTCCCTCCTCTTCTACTTTTTGGAAAACTTTAAGGAGGATGGGTATTAGGTCTTCTCTAAATGTTTGATAAAATTCAGCATTGAAACCATCTGGTCCATGAGTTTTGTTCTTAGGTAGTTTTTTGATTACCAATTCAATTTCTTTGCAGGTAATTGGTATATTCAGATTTTCTGTTTCTTCCTGGGTCAGCCTTAGAATGTTGTATTTTTCTAGAAAGTTGTCCATTTCTTCTAGGTTATCCAATTTGTTATATATAATTTTTCATAGTATTCTCTCATATTTTTTTGTATTTCTGTGGTGTCCACAGTGATTTTTCCTTTCTCATTTCTGATTATGTTTATGTGAGTAGACTCTCTTTTTTTCTTGATAAGTCTGGCTAGGGGTTTATCTATTTTGTTTATTTTCTCGAAGAACCAGCTCCTGCTTTCAAGATTCTTTCTATTGTTTTATTTTTGTCGATTTTATTTATTTATGCTCAAATGTTTATTATGTCCCTCTATCTATTGACTTTTGGCCTCATTTGTTCTTCTTTTTCTAGTTTCATTAATTGTGAGCTTAGACTGCTCATATGGAATTGCTTTTCTTTCCTGAGGTAAGCCTGTATTGCAATATACTTCCCTCTTAGCATGGTCTTCGCTGCATCCCACAGACTTTGCGGTATTGAGTTATTGTTGTCATTTGTCTCCCTATATTGCTTGATCTCTGTTTTTATTTGGTCATTGATCCATTGATTATTTATGAGCATGTTGTTAAGGCTCTATGTGTTTGTGGGTTTTTTCATGTTTTTTTTTGCATAATATATTTCTAGTTTCATACCTTTATCTGAGAAGCTGGTTGGTACAATTTCAATCATTTTGAACTTGCTGAGGCTCTTTTTGTGGCCTAGTATATGATCTATTCTTGAAAATGTTCCATGTGCACTTGAGAAGCATGTGTATCCTGCTGCTTTTTGGTGGAGTGTTCTGAAGATGGCTGTTAGGTCCATCTGTTCTAACATGTTGTTCACTGCCTCTGTGTCCTTACTTATTTTCTGTCTGGTTTATCTGTCCTTCAGAGTGCATGGTATGTTGAAGTCTCCTAAAATGAATGCATTGCATTCTATTTCCCTCTTTAAATCTGTTAGTATTTGTTTCACAAATGTAGGTACTCCTATGTTGGGTGTATATATATTTATAATTGTTAAATCATCTTGCTGGGTTGACCCCTTTACTGTTATGTAATGTCCTTTGTCTCTTTTTACTTTCTTTGTTTTGAAGTCTATTTCATCTGATACAAATACTGCAACTTCTGCTTTTTATGCCTATTAGTTGCATGAAATATCTTTTTGCCCCCCCTCACTTTTAGTTTGTGTATGTCTTTGGGTTTGTGTGAGTCTCTTGGAAGCAGCATAAAGACAGTCTTATTTTTTTATACATTCAGTGACTCTGTGTCTTTTGATTGGT